AATATTAGAGATTCATTTTGGAATTATTGCACACAAATATCAGTAAGTCATCACAAAGTTAGTTAGTTGTTTCTGTTATTTTTGTTAGTTCTGATTGATGTGGTTTTCAAATACAATAAATCCTTTAATATACAATTTGTAGTGGTGCTCATTGATTTTTGGTGGGTGCTCCTACATTTTTTATGGTGCTCCTAAAAGTTATGAAGTTGGGAGCAACAGTGCTACAAAGTAAAAAATTTTATTTCAAACCCGCTTTTTTAAAAAATTGTTCTGTCATTTGTTTACAGTGTAATAATTATGTATGTTTAAATGTCAAAAAATTTACTTAGCACAAAGAGAGAAATGGAGTATTGTTTGTTTTTAATATTGTTTTGTGCTGTATTAATTGGTTACTGAGCAGCAATAAATAACACTGTAAAATATAAGGAGTTTTCACGCGATTTTTCTAAACTAGTAGTGTTTTGAAATGAATGAATGCTTAATCGTGATAACTGTGAAACCGTGATTATTTCTCAGACTATAATCATACAATTAAAATCTATAATCGTTGCATCCCTAATTGGCTGTTGGTTACTAAGCGTTAGGCGTGTATGATAAGTATTATTTCAGCATCGATATTTCAATGTGTTTGTCTGCAATAGTCACGTCGCAGCACGGGATTCTAGTTGATCTGCACAACAATTGAAAATGCTTGATATTTGGAGAGTCATTGGCAACTTATAACCATTACAGAGTGAAACTTAATTATTTGCATGTGTTTAAAATGCATTTGAAGAGAGTTTAAAGCATTTGGGTATAAAAAAGTACAACATTTGTAACCTTAATGAAAAATTATTTTACTAAATGGTGTTATTTTGCATTAAATTTCTGTACCTGAATAATGTTCGACTCTCCAGAAAAACTATAAAGCACTGTTTCTTTTACTTTTTTCTTTGCTCTATTGTATTTATTCCTGCTTGCAATTTGTTTATTATAGTTTATACATGATTCACACCATTATAAATTCACCCCAATCTAAATTATGAGCTATTCAAACCATCTGATGAAATTGTATTCATATTGCTATATGTATATCGTAAAAAAAACCTAAATATCATAATGTCAAAATTTGTTGCTTTTATAGTTTGCTGCAGTTAAGTTTCGTTTTCATTTTCTCTCTGTGAGAGCGCAGACTCACGCGTGGATTAACAGTGTACGCGACGCGCGACAACAATAACTTACGTGTCTAAGGAGGATTATTGTTTACCTGAGAGCTGTTCTCATCTGCAAACGCTGAGATCCAGATTGTAGTCTCCTCTAAATAAAGACGCGGCTCGAGTTGCTGGTGATTGTCCTGTCTCTACAGATATGGTAAGTGAGCGACCAGTGCTCTTTGTTTATGCAGTTCGTATTTTATTCGTATCAAACAAACTATTGCACCGAGTGCAATAGTTAGCACTAACAGTTACAACCAAACTATAACCTCGTGTTGGATTTTGTGACCGGAATAACACACGCGGCTTTCTGACGCTACCTGCCGTGTGTATCTAAGTTTCCAGGAAATGCTGAGTTTTTTTTTCTCTCATTCGCCGTGCGGTATCAAACATTGCATGAAAAATACACGCTTAGAGCAGCGCCTCGAATCAAATATCACGTTTGTCGGGAGGGACATTAATGAATTCCCTGAATGAAAGAGCCAAACTGCAGTTAAAGTCCACCATTTAATAATTTGGCAAATAATTCGACTACAGATGTCCATGTAAACACAGTCACATTGTCCGATGTGGGTGTGTGTTTTGACTCTGAAATTCAGCGTGCCCAAATAGACACTCCCATACCAAGCCGCTATTCTTCCTCCGACACTCCCCCCTAAACAAAGCTGGACACGCCCACTTTTCTGACTTTTTTCAAAGTAGAGGTGTGAAAACACACTGCTGAAACGAGGGGGTTTCATGGCCCTTTAAAAATCAATGTAAGAGATTTACCAAACAGCTTTATTACAGAAAGTAAATTAAATAAATTACTTTAAAAACAACTTAGTTACTGAATTGTTTATTTAAACTGACTTTAATTCATTGAAAATCCTCGATGATATAATTAGAAATAGAGAGATTATTCAGAATGATGGAGTAACAGCCACCTTTATTTTAAGCAGAAAAAGTTATTCTCAGTTTATCTAAAACCAGTAAAGCTTGGCCATGAATTAAATTGACTTGAAGCTCTTTAGTTGACTAAGAAGTTCTACAGTGAA